TAGAAAAACCTGTACACACACACACACACACACACACACACATTTTTTTAAACTGTGGAATGTACAGCTTTTTAGAGATAAGTGCATCACCCACAAATAAATTGGTGACTTTTATTATGACACCACGACTCTTATGTCAAACACTTCGGGATCATATGACACTGATTGAACATGGCTTCTGTTCAGTGGTAAGAAGTGTTTACATTTTAAAAACATTTTTGACACTATCAAATTCTAACGCGACGTTTTTAATGAATAGAGAAATAATGATGAATATGTATTTTGTAAGATATCTGTGCTAGCGATTAATCATTGCTGTTGTAGACTAGTGGAAGGTGTAACTGTTATGACAGCAAACTGATGGTATCAAAATGTTATAAGTTACCATGTTACCTTGGTAGCTGCCATGAAGGATTACACAGTCGAATACCATGGTATTTACTTATTTTACCTAAAGCTACTTAAACGAATGGTATGGTATTTCTACGACTGCTTTTAGTCATGTCCAACAACACAAAACAATACATGGTGCCATGCCCTGAAATAATGGTATTACGTGGTTATTTCTGCATTTGTCAGTGTTTCCAACACTTTGTTGTTCAGGCTTATTAATATGACTGTCCATATGACATCTTTCTATATATGTTTGTGTTCTGCACAGGCACTCTCGGGCCCGTAAATATGAGGGTGAGTTGCAGATGTGTCGTTTGGAGGTTTCGGCAGTGGATTTCAGTGACTATCATCCACTTAAAGCAATCACGGTACATCTACAGCTCTCCTAAAAACTCATTAAATGCTTTCATTAAAAAAATATTACTGTTATGTTGTTATTAGAGGTGCAGTCCTCTTCGAGTAAACAGCGTTTGAGTGTGTTGATCAAGAATATGTATTTTCTATTTTCCTTAAATTTCCTAAAAGGAAAAAAATCCACCGGCTCACCTCGATATAGCCTTGTCCAAGTCATACACAAGCCATTAACTCATGTCTTATAATGCTGCTAGTTAGCAGGTTAAACATTTGGACTGACAACTGCACAAAGTTGGAAGCTTTAAATATCACCTCTGCCTAGATGTTTACAAGAAAGTTGATCAGATTTTGGTAATTGGAATGGATCAAATCTCTGAACAAAAATGAGTTATTCAATAGAAGAAAAAGGATTCTAGATTCAGATTAGACTGTTTTGCTCTGGATCAAACCTTCAGTATGTGTTGTTTAAAATGTTTTCTATTAAGCCTTTCTGTACAGTAAAGAAGAAAAAAAACATTTTCTGGTTACACTTTATTTCGATAGTCCACTTTAGACATTCTATTAACTATAAGTAACTTTGTAACTACATGTCAACTAATTCTCATTCATTTGCAACTACATGTCTACTAACTCTCAAGAGTAGACTGTTAGGGTAGGTTTAGGGTTAGTAGAATAAGTTGACAAAGAAAGTGTTAGAAGATATTAAGCAGACAGTCTACTAATACTCTACTAACTGCTAGTTGACATGTAGTTGCAAAGTTACTTACTGTTAATAGAATGTCTAAAGTGGACTATCGAAATAAAGTGTTACCCATTTTCTTCATAAAATAATCCTTCAATCAAAATATTATTTATATTGTTTTATCCATCATTTATCACTGTATATTAATCACAATGGCAAAAATAGTTTCTAACAATTTCATCCTTTATTGCATGTTTATTTGTTGTGTGTCACTGAGAACTGAAGGGTATGTGTGTACATTATTGTACTTTTTCTGTTTTCTGTTGATTTAAAAAATAAAAAAAAAACACTTAAATTGACCCCATGCTGACTATTCTACAGTAGCAAGTAGCCTAGATTGTGATATGTTGCCTCATTTTGAGCACCGGTAATCCAGATTTGGCAGTCTGGAAAAAACTGTATCTGAGGGGGATTCTAGATAGCAAAACATCTGGATTATTCAGATCCACATTAAACTTTTTTGAAGAACTGTGCCCAGTGTATTCTTGATCAAGACACCAAGATTGAATGTGAAATAAGTGAACTGTAAAATACTTTGAACAAAAGTAATTTAATGAACAAGTT